GAATGCACCACCTGGGCACTGAGGCAGAGAGTGGCCTCTCACTACTGTCTCCCTGTGGAGAAAATCGAAATAGCCAAATACTTCCCGGAGAGATTCGAGTGGCTGCCAATATCCAGCTGGGTAAGAGCTGGAATGACACAATCCAACAGCTGTTGGAGAGGAATGTGTTGGTTTGTGCTGCTGTTCCTTTGTAATCGTATTTCAGGAGAATTCCAAAAATCTTCTGCTTTGATTTTTTTTTTTTTTTAATTCAGACACAGCAAATTTCCAAGAGGAAAAGGAGGAAAAAGCAGGAGAGTTTGCAGTCAGCACCTTATCACCTGAGGGATGGAGACATCATTGGGGTGAAGGTAAATCACCTGGGATTTAGTCTTCCTGGTTTTCCTGCAGCATCTCTGGAGGTACTGGGATGTGGGTTTGGACATGTGGGTGGGAGATGTGCTGCTGCTGCTGCTCCTTTTTCTCCTGGTTGTTTTTTCTGGCCCTCATTTAATTGACTGTTTGATTTTTTTTTTTAATTCTGTATAAAATCCAAGGACAGTGCCCTTTAAAAATCCCATTATGGATATAAACCCATTACATATTCCAAAAAATGGACAGATCTATTTAATGATGTAAAAAAAACCAGTGTAAAAAAAACCAGTGTATTGAGCTCTGAATTAGCAATCAGGCTTGTTTAGGAGAAGGAAAGAACATACTGGCTGGGTTTTAAAGCAGTAGGAGAAAAATCTGATGTCCCATCCTGCTGCCTTAGACTTGTGGAAGAAATCCATCCCTGGAAGTGTAAAAGGTTGGATGGGGCTTGGAGCAACCTGGTCTAGTGGAAGGTGTCCCTGCCCATGGCAAGAGGTGGGACTGGATGAGCTTTTAAGGTTCCTTCCAACCCAAACCCTTCTGGGATTGTACTTAACTTGAAGTTAATTGGTGTAAAAGCAGTCAGAAATGCTCTCAGAAATGAATTATGTCAACTGAGTGACAGGTGGGAAATAGTTTGAGCTTCTGACTTCCATGGATCAAATCCTTTTCCCCAACAGAACCTTCTCCTTGATGACACCAAGGACTTCAGCACCGTGAGAGATGACATTGGGAAAGAGAAGCAAAGGCAGCTGGCCCTGGAAAAAAAGAAAAGGTACTGAGTATTTGCATTTATTTTTCATTAGAAAAACTGTTCTTTGCTGCTTTTCAGAGCAGCTGTGGCTGCCCCACCCTTGGAAGTGTCCAGGACCAGGCTGGACAGGGCTTGGAGCAACCTGGGATGGTGGGAGGTGTCCCTGCCCGCGGCAGGGAGTTGGACTGGATGAACTTTCAGGTCCCTTCCAACCCCAGCTAGTCTGGGATTCAATGAATTAATTTGATACCTGGGTGGCTTTTTGGACCAGTGGTAGCTGAGTGCTCTCAGAGCACACAATTCCAGTGGTCCTGCAGGAAGCACCTGGATAATTCCAGCTCATGGCTCTAAGTTCCTACAGGGAGCCTCAGTTTTTTCTGTTGCAACACTGCGGGGATGAGGAAAAGGGAATTCCCGACTGGTTGGCTTTGCACAGCTGGTTGGACTGAGCTTGTGGTTCATTCTTACAACTCATTGGAACCTGGGGATCAGTCCAGGCTCGTCTGCTGTGGGTGCTAAAGCTCAAGACTAAAATTAATCCCCCTCCTGACTGTTTTATTCCCACAGTCGCCAAGCCAGGAGTGTCCAGGAGCCCTTTTCCCTGGAGGAGAAGCTGCACACGAAGCCCCGGAAACCAGAAGTGGCTCTTTCCATCAATGTGGGGGTTTTCAGATAGCACAGGAGGGGCTTTGCTCACCACAACACACTGGATCCATCTACCTACATGGAGCAGCCAGAGGGGCTTTCCCAAAGTGCCCTCAAGAATCCCGGAGCCAAACTGGGGGGTAGGATTCAGGATAACTCGGACTTTTCTCTGCTCTCTCTTGGGGAAGTGCTTTAGTGTCCCTTTCTCCACGTGGTACCTACTCTCAGGCTGGGTAAATGCACTTTATCTAGGAGGAAATGGAGTAATATATTCAATGATATTGCTGACTCTTTTGTATTCTCCCTAAATGGATTTTTTTGGGGCAGGTCTGACACGTTGCACCATCACTACTGAGTTTTAATCCAGTCAGAATCATCTCTCTGTAGAATTTTTTTTCCCATCCCTCATCACTGAAGTTACTGCCAGTACCAGAATTTGCTTTTCTCTCTTTATATACAAACCTAAGTTTGTAGGAGCTGGAGCCAGACTTGAGGAATGAAGGAAACATGGAAATCTCTGAACAAAGTGTACAGAATGGGCTGAAAAAAGGGCAAATTCAGGATCTGTCAAGATGTAAAACCCAGAGGGCTTCTGTGACCTGGAACAAGAGTGTGGTACTCTTACATTTTGAAGTTTCTAGGGCTTTTTTTTGTTGCCACTAAATTGAATTTTGCAGTTTCTAGGACTTTTTTGTTGTCCATAAGTTTCATTAACAGACAAAACGGTTGGAAAGAGTTGACAGATCCAATGTTTGGAGTTAAGTGGGTTTTACTGTACTCAGGAAAAGGGCTTGTATTTATTTTCTGTGCTCTTTTTTCGGAGGAATTTCCCTCATTTCTCATCTTTCCAGTTGTTGTAACACTCTATTACATTTGCCATGTTTCTCTTGGTGTCACAGGGCTGAGGTGGAGCCTCTGACATCAGGCCTCCGTGTCCAAAGTCCTGAAGTATTAAGATCAAAAGTAAGCCTGATTATCCCTAACTAATAATAATGAGAGGACAAAATACAAGTTGCTTTTGGGAACTGCAGCAAATATTTGACAGTGGAGGAGATTTTGTAGCAGGAGCTGCCAGTTCAGCAGACTCCTAAAATTTTGCCTAAGGTGGGATTTTTCCTGTACCTTTTAGAGGTTAAGAAAATTCTGGTATTTCAGACAGCTGAAAGATAAAAACTGACACTCAGATATCAGCAAAAAAAGAAGAATAAGAAGTGAAAAGTGCTACAAAGCACATGATTAGTATTTATTTATTTCTGTTCATATCTTTAAAATTCAGCTTCTGTGCTTTTTGGGGCCGATCACTCCAGAAGGGGCTCTTTAATGTCCTTGAATTCACTTGAATCCTGAAATCCTGGTTTCATGGGTAGGTTTCCTGCCTGAGGTGAGGGCAGCCGATGCTTTCCTATCTTATTTTGTCGCCTTCTTCCAAATCAAGTGTTCTTGGGAGCCCATGTTTCCAGGAGGGATCCAGGTGCTGACTGGAAAGCTTTGTGTTTCCAGGTGGTTCCACTGCATTGCACTTCTCTGTTGTCCCTTTAGTGCCTCCAGCTCTTGCTGGAGAGCTGGACCGAGCTCAGCCTTCCCCCTTTGAGAACTCTGCTTTCTCCCAGAGAACACCGAGGTTGGAGAAACTCAAGTGGGAATTCCAAGAGGGGATTTTGTGCCTTTGTTCAAGTGTAATGTAGCAGCACCTGCACTGAACCAATCTGGGATTATTTTTCATATTGGCTCAAAAATGCATATTTTTTTTTTTTTCCTTAAAACTCTTGTGGGTCATTCCACAAGGAAGAGAGTTTGTGGAAAACGGGGGGGGATAGGGAGAGGGAACCCCTTTGGAAAACGGAGTCTTTGTGATTCCGTGGGTTATGATGGTTGCAAAGCCTGGAAAAGCTTTCATCTTTATTTTTCAAGTGTTCTTCACGAAATAAAATGTCATTTCTAGATGCTTAGTTGCTTTGTCTCTGGATGTCTCACTGGGAATGGCACAAATTGGTGTTTAACATTGGAGGGGCCACAGCCTTAATTAGCTTTAATTTTCCAATCTGTTCCTAAACCAACATTCCCATCTCTGTTTGAAGTATTCCCGATCCAGGTGGGATTGTGCTGTGCAAAGACCTGGGTTCAGCTGGAGAATTGGGATTTGGATGCAAGTTTAAAGTTATTTTAGTGTGTTTTTTCCCCATTTTCAGAAGCACAGTCTGGTGTTTACTGGAGAGGAAATGGGCTGATCCTTTATTTCTGCTTGAATTATACAGCAAAGGTTTTAATAATGTTAATACAGACTCCAGTTACTAAATTAATGACTTTCAAACTCTTTCCTCTCTCTCATAGGGGATTTTAATGCTGTCTACAAGTCCCTGACAGGAGGGTGAATCCATGTGGGGTTGGGCTCTGCTCCCAGGGAACAAGGGACAGGATGAGAGGAAACAGCCTCAAGCTGTGCCAGGGGAGGTTTGATTTGGATATTATGGAAAATATCCAGGCTGGGCTATGCTGTGGCTCTCAGCAGCCCCAGAATCCCAGACTGGTTTGGGTTGGAAGGGACCTGAAAGCTCATCCCATTCCATCCCCTGCCGTGGGCAGGGACACCTTCCACCATCCCAGGTTGCTCCAAGCCCTGTCCAACCTGGCCTTGGACACTTCCAGGGATGGGGCAGCCACAGCTTCTCTGAGAATTCCATCCCAGCCCCTCACCACCCTCCCAGGGAAGAACTCCTTCCCAATATCCCATCTATCCCTGCCCTCTGGCAGTGGGAAGCCATTCCCTCTTATCCTGTCCCTCCATCCCTTGTCCCCAGTCCCTCTCCAGCTCTCCTGGAGCCCCTTTAGGCCCTGGAAGATGCTCTCAGGTCTCCCTGGAGCCTTCCCTTCTCCAAGCTGGACAATCCCAGCTCTCCCAGCCTGGCTCCATGGCACAGGGGCTCCAGCCCTCGGAGCGAGTCCAGAGGAGGCACCAAGATGCTCCAACATCTCCCTCTCCTTCCCGTGCTGGCTCCCCCCACCAGGATCATGGCAACATCCCTTTAGCGATAAAACCAAACACCATCACCGCAGTAAAACCCCAACTTTTCCCGCTCTTATCCACCGCCCTCTGCCCTAGCTTTCATTTATTCGCCGATTATTCCACCGAGGGGCGGGACGGGGCGGCTTTGGGGCCCTTTCCAAGTTTTTTTCCCCTCAGGGATTATGCGGTTGCTATGGCCGCGCTGTCCCTTAGCAACGCGCCGCGCGCATGCGCAGCGCGGGGCACGCCGGGAGCGCGGCCGGGCCGCTGCCGGTGCGCTCCCGGTGGGATTTGCCGCTGGATTCCCCCTGGGATGAGCCCCGGCTGAGCGCTGGGGCCCGGGGCCGCCGCCGCCGCCGCCGCCATGAACGAGGCGGTGGCGCGGCGGACGCGGGAGAGCCTGGGGCAGGTGATCCGCAAGCCGCCGCTGACGGACGCGCTGCTGAACAAGCCGCCGTTCCGGTACCTGCACGACCTCATCTCCGAGGTGGGAGCGGGGACACCCCCGGGCACCGCCAGCGCTCCCCTGCCCTGCCAGGGACACCCCCGGGCACCGCCAGCGCTCCCCACCCTGCCAGGGACACCCCCGGGCCGGGCACACGCCCAGGGCACGGCCGGAGTGCCGAGGGCACCGCGGGAGCTGGGGCGGGGGGGAAACGTGGCGTGGGGGGCGCTGGGAAAAGGGGGTTCGCGCTGGCAGAGAGCGGGGTTAGGTGGGATATTGGGAAGGAGTTCTTCCCTGGGAGGGTGGGGAGAGGCTGGGATGGAATTCCCAGGGAAGCTGTTGGCTGCCCGATCCCTGGAAGCGTCCAAGGCCAGGTTGGAGCAACCTGGGATATTGGGAAGGAATTCTTCCCTGGGAGGGTGGGGAGGGGCTGGGATGGAATTCCCAGGGAAGCTGTTGGCTGCTCCATCCCTGGAAGTGTCCAAGGCCAGGTTGGAGCAACCTGGGGTAGGGGATGGAATGGGATGAGCTTTAAGGTCCTTCCAACATCAACCTGTGATGATTCTGTGAATGAAGAAACCAAATCCTTCTAAAAACAGGAAAACATCTTTAGATTCCTGCTCATAAATCCACTAGGAATTACCCATCTTTATCCACCTTACTGGATCACACCCCATTCCTTAGAAATGTGCAGCTCTGGGATCACTGAAATGCCCTTGGCTGTTTGGCAGGAGCCTGAGGAAAAGATTTCCTTGGAGATAAAGGGTGAGAGCATCTGGTCATGTGATCAGTATGTCCATATCCCAAATTTTAAAAGGTTCTGAAGCTTCAAATCTAATAAATGGTATTAAATGACCAATGAATAAAGTGAAAAATAAACAATACAGATTAAAATCGTTAATATTGACGATGTACTTGTGTGGGGCTCAAACTCTGCTGAACCTCCTGTGCTCTCTGTCTGTTGTTATTATTGTTGTTTAAATGGTGACCAAACATTTCTGTTGTGCAATTCCTAACAGCAGAGGGTTGGAAATTAAGCCCCAGAATGAGTGAGGTTGGAACAGATGTCCAGGATCACGGAGTCCCCCCTGTGCCCGATGCCCACCTTGTCCCCCAGCCCAGAGCACTCAGTGCCACTCAGTGCCAGGCCTTCCTTGGACACCTCCAGGGTTGGGGACTCCAAACCTCCCTGGGCAGCCCCTGCCAATGCCTGACCACCCTTTCCATGGAGAAATCCCTCCTGATGTCCAACCTGACCATCCCCTGGCACAGCTGGAGGCCGTTTCCCCTTGTCCTGTCCCTTGTTCCCTGGGAGCAGAGCCCGACCCCCCCACAACTCCCCCCTCCTGTCAGGGAGTTGTGGAAAGCAAGAAGGTCCCCCCTGAGCCTCCTTTAAATTGCCCTGCTGTTGTTTGCATTAAAAATCTCTTGGATTTACCAACCATCAAGGTTAAAGATGGAATGGAAAAGGAAGGGAGGCCTGAGCTGCAAGGAGGGAACCTGCTCTAAAACCAGTTCTAAAGATGTCACACCAAGGCCAACAGATTTCCTGCTGCCCCAGGAGCTGTATTACTTACTTTTTATTACTTCCTAATTTATTACTTAAAGCAGAGACTTTGAGTGTTCTTAACTTGCTCCTTCTCTTCTGTTATTTAGGTAATCAGGGTGACAGGTTTTCTGAAAGGACTTTACACCGATTTTGAGTTGAAGTCAGACAATGTTAAGGTAGGTCTGAGACTTCCTTACTTCCTTAGCTTTAAAATAAGTATTCTTTGAAAGCTGCCACGAGGTTCTTTTGGCCTTTTCCATACTCTGCCTCAAGGATCTGTCTTTAGTTTTGCTGTGGAAGTTCCTACCTGTGGGTTTTATTATGCACTGCATGGGGTGAACAGCTGTAGATTGATTTGTGGCTGTGACACAAACAAGCTGCTGGGTGCAAAGAACTGTTTTTATACCTATTTCAAACCACTGAGGGGTGATCTCTGCCCAGATCCACTTTTCCCAGTTACTATTGCATGGGAAAAAAATCATTCTGTAGGAAGGAATTGATAATAAATAATTGATCAATAATGAGGGATAAATTGATAAGAAATCACAATCCCTAGAAATCCACGGGCAGGTTTAAAGAGTCTTGTGGTCTCTCAGTGGAGTCTGTGGCTTTATTGCTTTATATATTTGTGTCTGTGCACACACATATATATGGTACATAAATATATCCATGGAATATTCCTGTTTAGTATCCCAGGACTTGCTGAGGCATTTCTGGAGGAGCTGCATTCCACAGTAGCTTTATTGCAGTGTAAAAATGACTCATTACTGAGAGAGGAGGTGAATATTATCCCTGAAAACTGCTTTTCTTAAGTACAAGGGGGACTTGAATCTGTATTTGCTGCTTTCTGCTTGGCTCTTGGCTGAGCTCCCTGAGTTCTCCAACCCCCAGGTTGGTTTGGAATTGCTGGTTCCTGGCAAACAAGGTGTTGCTGTTTAGGCAGCTTCATCCCTTGGTGTTTGTTTAATGTAGCAACTGAAATCTGAGGTCTGGGAGCCCAATTTCTCCTCCCTCCAGCCACTTCTCACATGTTTTAGGCACTTGCTGCAGGCAATTAATGCTCTAACATGTGCATTGCTTTCTGTGACTGTTCTTAGAGTTGTCAGGAGAACTCAAAAAGTTATTTATAAACGGATTGATATTTTTTGTTGGTACTGTCCTTGTTCATCCGTTTCCCAGCACCTCCTGAGTAGGTCTTTGTGTCTCCACCCTGTGACAGAAGGGAAGTTGCACCTCCCTGAGAATTTCTTTCCCAGTCCATGAGCTGGTTCTCCAGAGTTCAGGCAGAGGAGATCCAGATCCTGGAATGTGGGGGGAAAATGTCTCCAGATGGTGGTCCCCATCCCAAACCCACTGCTCAGGAGGAGCACTTGGCTGCTTCCTTACTGGGATTTCTGTTGGAGCTGTAAATCAGGAGAGTCATTTTTATCTGAGTAATCAACAGGAGGGTTGAAATCAGTTGGATTTTTTAATTGTTGGGATTTCTCTGGAAGAAATACACTTCCTGCTCCAGCTGCATTGGATGGCACTCTGTGTTTACCAGAGAGGCTCATCTTTTAAGGTCTAGTAAAATATTATCTTATAAATGCAAACATTGGATATCATGCTTGATCTTGTCATTTTTTATATCATCTTATAAATATAAATATTTTGTGTATATAGAATCTATATTTGTATCTATATATATATTTATATTTTATTATATTTATATACATACCAATTTCTGTCACTTGAAATAAGGGAAATACCCAATAAAAAACACTCAGCACTGTTTCAGATATTTCTTTCTATCTTGATCCAGTTTGATTTCCTGCTGCAGGTGGGAGCTGTAGATTTCCATTTGGTCCATCAGGATTTCTTACATGGACAGAACACACAGATAACTCCTGGAAATGATGAGGATGGAGGAGGAAAGTTTGGTTTAGAATAATGTCTTGTCTCTTTCCATAAATTATTAGATTTCAGGAAGGATGAACGACTATTTAATAGGAGGTTGCAGCATTTCTTTCCCTTCCTTTTTATTTCTGAATGGGGGGAGCATTTTGTTACATTTTATTAATAAACCCCTGTTTTCTCCCCACTGGATTTTCTCCTTCACGCCAGCATTTCATTCTCTGGGCCAGAAACCCTCCAATAAAGCTTTAATTTGTTTATTTGGTGTTTATTATTTACTTCTGATCTTCCCTGATCACCAGGAGACGTCGTGTCTGTCGAAGGGCCCTCGGGGCAAGTCACGAAGTACAATTCCGAACCCCAGGCACGTCTGCTAATTGTGGAGCTAAAAATACCTCTGGCTTGCTCTTTTGCCAGGATAAAGATTCCAAAATCCACTTCCTTCAGAAGGCCATCGATGTGGTGGTGCTGGTGACGGGGGAGCCCCTGGCAGTGAGGCCAGTGCGTGTGGTGGCTGGACACGAGCCCGAGAAAACCAACGAGTTCCTCCAGGCCATTGGGAAGTGTTGTTTGAACAAGGTGGGACACCACAATCTGCCTTTTATACACACAGGGAGATTGGAGCAGCTGGTTTGATATTTATTGGTGGCCCAGGGGATCCAGGAGCCCTCAGTCAAATAAATCTCTTAATTCTGGAATGAAAGTCATTTTTCCGCCCGGCCTTTTTTGAATATGGAAACGCGGCAAAGGAGATGTTTGATAAGGGGTTGAAAACAACTGCAGGGGCAACTCTTACATTGAATTATTACATTTTTACATGTAATTTCTATTGTTACATTCTTAAAATAATTCTTAAAAGTGATGGGGATTCTTTGCTTAAAAGTGTTGCAGAGATTTTTGAGATACAAAGATATTTCAAAAAACCTTTCAAAAATATCCTTCAAAACAAAGGTGATTCAGAACCCCTTGAATTAATGAGTGTGAAGAAATTGTGTCTGTTTAACAATGAAATATTACAGTGTTTACAGGCTGCCTGGGAGTTTGCTTTGCATTATCTTTGCTAATAATTGACATTATTTTGTTTTAATTGGCTGTGCTAATTCCTTATTAATCGCTTGAGATCATATATTTATCATGTTGATAAATATATGCATTTACAAACCAGGAGAGAATCAGGAGTCAGCCTCAGTGTGTAGTGATTGCAAAGCTATTCCTGTTTCAGGAAGGAAAATTCCCTGGAAATGGGATGGGTTTTTTTTTGGTTGCTGCTGATGGAACAAGTATTGGGTGACAGTGGAGTGGCCTGAGAGTGGATGCAGATCCAACATTGTGTGATTTTAAGAATATTTAACAAATCTGACAGTCCTGGTATAAGCATTTGACAGGTTTTTCATCATTTTGAAATATATTTAAGCAGTTGCAATGAGAATTGCAATACACTAAAAAAAAACCACCATCAATTTCTATAGTTCTGGTTCATTTAATCAAATTATAACAAGAATTAATTAATTAGGACCTTAAAGGGAGGTGTTTGATATAAAAGAGCTCCTGGGAAAGAATTCAGTGGTCTCAGAGGCCTTTTCTCTGATTGATTCTGTGAAGGAGAAAAAAAAGAGCTTTATTTATAACAACAGCAGCAAACCCAGAAGAAAACCCCAACCCCCAGGTCATGTTGATCACAGAGTTAGGAAAAAAGGAGACATTTCCTAAAAGAATTCCCTCGTTTTCCTGATGTTTTTCTGTTCCTTGCAGCTCTCCAGTGATGCTGCTGTAAAAAGGGTCTTGGCTGGGGAAAGAGCTGATCCTAAAGGGAAACCTCCATCCTCCAAACCTCGAGAGAAAGAAAGCAGAGAGTCCAAACCAGAAGAACCAAAAAGCCATAGGGATAAAGAGGTAGAATTTGCATTTTCCTGGAGGGTATTATTTATTTGGTTGTTTTTTGTCTGTGTAAAGTCACTGAGTGATACTGGAATTAATTTGGAGTGTTGACTTTCTTTTTAGAGCAGGAGAGACCCTGAAATCAAAGACAGAAGCTCAAGCAGAGACAGCAAACCCAAGGAGAGCAGAGAAAGAGAAAAGGAGGGTGAGAAACAGAAGGATAATAAAGAGAGGCACAAAGAACCTGAACGTGAGACCTCGAGGGAAGGAGAAAAACGAGACAGGGAAAGAAGCAAAAAAACAACCAAGCAGGGAAGAGAACCGGAAAAAAGCAAAGGAAAAGGAGACACAGAAGATGATCTGGAGCGTGAGAAAGGACAGGAAAGAGAGAAAAAACATGAAGGAGGAAGAGAAAAGGACAGAGTGAAAGGAAGAGGCAAAGAGAAGGGCAGGGACAGGGAAGGAGAGAAGGACAGAGAGAGAGGAAGAGATCGGGACAGACGCGGGGACAAGGAAAAGGATGAGGAGCATCACTGGGAACGTGGGAAGGAGAAAGCAGAGAGAAAGGTAACGGGAATGTCACTGCAGAGGAGAACTTTGCCCATGCTGTGGTTGTTCCAGTGACCTCCCATGGCTGTGTTTCTGCTCCTTTAGCAATTCAATCCTCCCTTCAGCAGCAGTTCCTCTCCTGAGGGGAAGGTTCTGGGGTGGAGTCTGCGACTCTGGTGGAGTTGCACTTCTGTATTATTTTTTTCTGGTTTTCTAGATTAAGCTGCTTGGCTTTTTGGTTTTTTATTTTGTTGTTGTTGTTGGTTTTTTGGGTTTTTTTTTGTTTTTGTTGGTTTTTTGTTTGCTTTTTTTTGTGTGTGTGTGTTTTTTTTGGTGTGTTTTTGTTTGTTTGTTTGTCTGTTTGTTTTTGGTTTTATTTGTTTCTTTTAATTGGAAGAACTACTGGGAAGCCCATCTGGATTCTTGTGGGTGTGACTTCAACACCATCCAGTCTCACCCCCTGCCATGGGCAGGGACACCTTCCACCATCCCAGGTTGCTCCAAGCCCCGTCCAACCTGGCCCTGGACAGTTCCAGGGATGGGGCAGCCACAGCTTCTCTGGGAATTCCATCCCAACCCCTCACCACCCTCCCAGGGAAGAACTCCTTCCCAATATCCCATCTAACCCTGCCCTGTGGGGCAGCCATTCCCCCTTGTCCTGTCCCTCCATCCCTTGTCCCAAGTCCCTCTCCAGCTCTCTTGGAGTCCCTTTAGGCACAGGAAGGGTCTCTAAGGTCTCCCTGGGGTCTTCTTTTCTCCACCCCCAGCTCTCCCAGCCTGTCAGAAGGTTGGAAGGAGATGGTCTCTAAGGTCCCTCCCAACCCAAACCATTCTGGGATTCTGCTGAGCTTCAATTTAGGTACTTTAATTTAGATATTTTTTGTCCTTTTCTGCCTTTTTCATTTGTGTTCCAGTAGCCTCTTGCTGTGGTGTTCCAGGTGAGCACAGATCCATTAAAAGAGTAATTTAGAAGAGATGACAGGAATGAGAGAATCCCAGACTGGTTTGGGTTGGGAGGGACCTTAAAGCTCATCCCATCCCACCCCCTGCCATGGGCAGGGACACCTTCCACTAACCCAGGTTGCTCCAACCTGGCCTTGGACACTTCCAGGGATGGGGCAGCCACAGCTTCTCTGGGAATTCCATCCCAGCCCCTCCTCACAGCCAAGAATTCCTTCCCAATATCCCATCTATCCCTGCCCTGTGGCAGTGGGAAGCCATTCCCCCTTGTCCTGTCCTTCCATCCCTTGTCCCAAGTCCCTCTCTGTCTTTCTTGTCGGCCCCTTCAGGTCCTAGAAGGCCTCAGTGTGGAGTCAGTTGGAACAAGATGAGCTTTCAGGTCCCTTCCAACCCAGACCATTCTGGGATTCCCTGATTCTAAATCCTAAACTGCCATAAGAGCCATCTCTTCATTGCCTTTTGTTTTGTTGTTCTTATCTTCTCTTTCTCCTCTAAATAATTCCAGTTTCCCTCTTCTGCTCTCTTCGTGGCAGAAATTTGGGGTTGATGGACATCAAAGATGCTTCTGTTTGGAGGGAGCTTAATTTGTGTCAGTCTCAACCCACTGAATCTAAACCAGCTCATTCCTTTTACAGCCCACAGATCCTGAGGAATCCACACTTAGGAAGACACAGAGGCCAACTAAAGACAGCCAGTGCCAGCCAGATAATGAGGTTAGTAGTGGGAAATACAGAAATGTTAAAATTGTTGCACTTTAGAATGATTTGGGACCGTCCTTGGAAAGATTTTGATTGAAAGGGAGGTAGATAACAAGTTTTAGGGCTGTAAACTACACAGATGCTTGTCTGGTGGGTTGGTTGGTTATTTATTTATTTATTAAAAATTTCTCTGAGCTTGGATCCAAAAAAACCCCAAAAATCCACTCAATTTATTTCATTTTCCAGATTTTATTCCTGGGTGTTGATATGTTGGGTACTCCGGGAAAAATATTGGTTTGTTCCAAGTTCACAGAATCCCAGACTGGCTTGGGGTGGGAGGGACCTTAAAGCTCATCTCCTTCCAACCCCCTGCCATGGGGTTTCTCCTTGTTCCTCAGGATCTTCCCTGGAAAGCTGTTGGGTTTTTTTCATTTATTATCATGCTTTAACAGGAGCTACTGTTTTGGAAAGAAAAGAAACCCCCTGTTGTTTCAGGGCCCCTGTTGTGCAGCTGGATGATGGTGGGGCAGCAGAGCAGCTCAGGGAGCGCCTCTGAGCAGGAGCTGTTCTTTGGGATACCTCTGTGTCTCCAGCTGCTGCTTCCCGGGGACATGAGGCAATGTGGGGAATTAGGGAGCCAGATGGCTTCATATTTAGTCAGTGAGACTTCAGGGAATTAAGCTGAAGCAGCTCATCCTAAGGGAAAAGAGAGGCAGGACCCCCAATCTCACAGGAGTCTCTGGGCCCGCTGACATCACCGGGTGACGAATTTAGAGCTCCTCCTGGACTGAAATCCAAGCAAACTTTTTAAGTTGCTGGCACTTGGAGGCAGAGCTTATAAAAGAAGGTTTTTTTTTTTTTTAGCCCCAAGCTAAATATTCCTGGCCAAGTTAAACTTCCTGCAAATCGGGGCTCTAATGGAAATTCTGAGCCTCGTCCCAAGCTCTTGGGCACCACAATCCTACACGGGGGCAGGCAGGTTTCATTTCCCTTCTTAAGTGCTTTTGGGAGGGATTCCAAGGCTTGGAAGTGGGTTTTATTCCCTGAGATCTAGAGGACATTCTTGCCCCTGTTTGCTTGTGTAAGAGCAGAGGCTGCTGATTTATTGTTATTTAGGTAATGAAAACACACCCTTTAAACCAGGGCAGGACGAAAGGTTCCTCGTGTTTAAGGTTGTGGAAGAGGAAAATGAGATTAAAATGTGCCCAGTGAATTTTTCGAGCTGTGATAGTTGCACAGAGTGAAACAGAGGAAATTCCAGCATGAAATAATTAGAATCCACAGCAAGGTAATGCCTTTATTTGTAGGGATTTGCCCTCTTTTCACCACTGTAGCTCCATTGAAGTCACGTGGCAGGGAAACAAATGGATTCAAAGGAAGGGAAACAAGTTCCCCCTGGGCACATGGCAAATATTGACTCGGATTTTGCAGTCTCTGCTGCAGAATTAGTAAATCCTCAGCATCAATCATCAGCTATGTTTTATATATATGGTTATACAATTTATATATTCACTATAAGAGAACTGAAACAATTGGAGGCAACCCCTCTTTTTTGCCCTGAGGATGAACCTTTTTTACCTTTCTCTGCGTTTCCTTTAGAAAACGAATCAATTCAGCTTTTTTTAATTCATATTCTACATGTACAGCAAAGCCTTCAAAGTTTAGCTCCTGGCTTTCCTCCTATAAAATTAAGGATCTTAATAAGATTCTCTGCATATTCGTGCAAGTCTTAATTCCTCTTGTTGCTAATTACCCAAGCTTTAAAATCTACGTAAATTTTGACAGGTTGACTTTATTATTTTTTTTTAATTTCAGTGTATTTTTCTGTCACTAAAGGAACTCTGTGTGTTGTGCAATAGTCACCCCATGGGTATCTCTAATTTTCTGGAGCTAGAAGAAAGCGAGGATAAGTAGGAATTAAGAGACATTTGGGCAACACATGGCAATCAGAAGCTGCCTCAAGGCTGGCTCTTGCATTCCACAGTTTGGGATCAGGGTTGGGTTGTTCTGTTCTCTCTCAGTCCACCTCAGGTAAAAAAAAAAAATCATATTTAAAATGGCTTTTCTTTGACCTTCTAAATAATCAGGATCACTTTATCTTTGCACAGAAGGTGCTGGAGGTCATGGAGCACATGGTGCTGTTGGGCTGGAAGTGGAACAGAGCAGGTTTGTCATTTATCCCTGGGGCCAAACACCTTGGAAAAGGCTCCTCCACGTTTCCTGTGGCTGCTGAAACTCTTGGCTAAAGCTTTCTGTAATATCCTGTCACTTTTGGCCACTTGGAAAATGGGTTTTATTGATGCCCTGCAAAGCACAGTGCTCTGGAAATGGTCCCTTGAATCAGATCTGACCAACTTCTCTTTCTGTCGGAGCTTAACTGGATGTTACAACAAACTATGGAACGAAAAAAAGCCAGCAGAGAGAATCATTCCATGGAAATCTGCTGGGAATGACCCCGTCTTTTTGGTGTCAGTGTGTTAGAAAGCCATCATTTCAACTTAGGCTTCAAAAAGAGGGATTTTCCTCATCTTGCTGTGTTTGCAAAGCATTTGTGTGCAGATGAACATCACCTTGTGAGGCTTCACAATTGATAATTGATTGATATTCTCCTGCTGAGTCTCCTCACCACAGCACTTCAGTTGGCCTTAGCAAGTCAGGATCTCCCCTTGTGTATGTTTAATTTATGTAAAATTATCCTTGCACACGATATTTATGGTAGAAATGCAAATACACCTCCTGACCCTGTGGATCTAAGTAGAAAAAAAAAGTATTTTTGAGGGCTGGTTGAATTAAATTTTAGTTCACACAATTCATATTTTTTATTATTTGTTTATTCTTAATTGTTATTATCTACCTATCAGTGGAGCTGATGAATTGGAGGGGGGAATTATCTAATGAGTTCTGAAACGTCAGAAAAACTTGTTTTCTTACATTTTAAAGTGAAGTTCAACCTATTTAAAGGTTAATAATGAGGCCAGAGCAGCAGAATGGATGGTTTGCTGGATCCTCTCCATAATCACTCAAAAATGGGAAGCATCCATCCATCAAGAATTCCATAGAATGTGTTTTTTCCAGGATGGAGTGTAAGATTTCCCTTTAATGGCTCCAGTGGCTGCTTTTCAAAGCCTGTGAATCCCTAAGAAGGGGAACGACCTCTTTTCTCTCCCTTTGGAAAGCCCCAAATCATAAATATTGTGGGATTTTGGGTTTTTTTTTTTTTTGAGAAAATGTCAGCTTTTACCCTGCACCTGCTGCCAGTGGCTCTGCAAAAACAGTGTCTGTAGCCCCATCAATAAACTAAATCCACTTTTCCAGAAGCCTCAGCGCCTCTTCCCAACTCCCTGTGCTAATAATGACATCACCCAGGAGCTGCTGGAGCTGGAATGTGCCAGATGGGCTTCACTTTTCCTCCTTGCAAAGGCTTGGGGTTGGGAAAGTAATTAAGGATAATGAAGATGAACCACTTCAACATTAGCTGAGGGGTCTGGAATTCAGTCTGGTTTTCCTTGTATTTCCTCAAGAGGAGGAACCTTCTCGTGGAAGGTGGCAGGGGGTGGAATGAGATGAGCTTGAAGGTCCTTTCCAACCCAGAGCATCTTGTTGTGTCCTTATCCATTATGCCATGGATGGACCATTGTCCTGTGTGCAAGATATTCTGGAAAATTAATGGTGGGATTTGACAGTTTTCTCCTGCAGGTCGGTGGAACATCCAGAGTTAATGTTGGCATAACACTGGAAGAATTTGTAACCCTCATTTTTAGGTCAAACACATGGACATGGAAGGTTGGACAGGATGATCTTGGAGGTCTTTTCCAACCTTAAGGATCGTGATAATCAGCGGGGCTGGAATAAATCTTGGGTGCAAACTTCAGGGACTATTAGTTCACACAAACTCCCCCCAAAAAATCACATGAGGAAGGAAATCCTGTGAGGTGCTAAACATATTTCAGGATTTTGGATAGGGGGCAGAGATTATTGGGATAGAAAGCCTGGAAATGTAAAGTGGAATTCTACAAATCACCCAAAACTTCACCTTGGTGTGTTCAGAGATCGTTGCTTCCTTTGCTAAAGGAATCAGGGAGTTAGGGATAAGGGCAGGGAAGTTGTTGGAAGCATGAATCGTGGAATCATACAATCCCAGGGTGCTTTGAGTGGAAGGGACCTTAAAGACCCCCTGGTTCCACCCCCCTGCCATGGGCTGGGACACCTTCCACTAGCCCAGGTTGCTCCAAGCCCCGTCCGTGTTGGAAACTTGTTGGAAGCTCCTGGTTTATTGTGTGCAGTGAGGGCCAGATCCCACCACTGGCTCCATGCTCTGGTCCACATGGAAGCAGGATCCCCTTGTGGGAGCCAAGATGGGTGTAAGGGGATGGGCTGTCTCCTTATCCCCCTGCTCCCATTCCCAGGAGTTTCCTTGGGCTGGCAGGAACTCTCCTTTCCACCTCCTCTGGATTCCTTTGGCTCCAGGCAGAGCGAGCAGCAAATCCCCTGGGAATGCTGGCATCTCATTCCAAAGGGACTGCTGCTTTTGCATGTCTTTTTCCCAACGTGCAGCCTTGCTCCTTTCCAAGGAGCATTGCCAGGTGCAGAAGGAATTGTCAGTCAGGTGTTCCTGGATTGAGGCAGGGCCAGCTGCATCCAGGGAGAACAGGATCATTCCAGTGTGTGCTTCCCTGCTTTCCTTTCCTGGCCTCTCCGCCTCCAGACCAAGGTCAGGGTCCTCAGAAACATCCTGAAGTTTCCTCCAAGTTTCATCTTTTCCCCTTGGGAACTCTCCCCCTCCCTCCTGGGCCAGCTGCACCTTCAGATCATCCATTGTCTGCTGGACTTTCTGGCAGCACCCCCTTAGTTTGTCCAGGATCTTTATCCAAGGAAGTTGCCATTTGAGTGATAGACTATGGAAGCCCAGTAGGACAATTGTTTAATCCTTGCTTCTGTTTTGGAATGAAATTTAAAAGACTTCCCGGCAGGTTATGAGGGGATTGGAAGCATTTTAGTCCTTTTAGGAGCCAAAAATCAGATCCCAAGACCAGCAGTGGCATCACAGGTGCTCCACAACTTCCACAGGGTTGGATACTCCTCATTTACATTTTTTTACACTAAGGAAATCTGACCTGGGATATCCAGGAAAAAAACCTGCAGACTTTGAGGGAAACACACTCAAAATGTGTGGGTCAGTTCTGAAGAGAATATTTTCGATGCGTAAGAAATACAGGTGAAAAAGCAACACGTGTAAGTAAATTTCAGATATAATTATAGGATTTTTAGATCTACAGTTGTATAAATTTCTGGAGTTTCTTTTCCAGAGTGAAAGTCCTGCAGGGATATCAAGGCAGCCTTCAACTAAAGGATCGAGGCAACGCTCCAAACCCGGAGGAGAAGGTAACCAGAGGGAGGATATTATTATTTCTATTCAATGTGCTGGAGGGTTAGTGAATAGGAACAGCAGAAATACTGAAATATCCTTGTTTATTATTGTCAGGCCTCGGTTTATACTCCCAGCCTGCATTTATGAATCCAAGAGGCAATTTTCCTGCCTGGATTTGGTCCAGAAAAAGTGAAATTGGGTTCAGTTTGCTCACATTTCTCATGCAGGGATGAATTCTCTTCTCTTGGTAATTATTGTGTTCTCTCTAAATGGACTTTTTGACTTGTCTGCAACTGTTCCTGGCTTATTTAACATTTGTAAATTTAAAATTTGTAAAAGCACAGTGCTTTAGTAAGGCTTAGGATATGTTATGTGAGGTTGTTTTAGAAGATGAAAGGGGTTTGTGAGGCAAAATGTGCTTTTCTGTGTAAGAATCCTACAGCTATGAACTCTAAATTTGTACTTTAATCAGTCATTGATATTTGGGGAGAGTGCTCTTCCAAAATATACACAGGGAATCCAAACTTCCCTTCTTTTCTGAATCACTCAGTCATTTCTCAAGGATCTGAAATCTTGCTCTTTAGGAATTCTTGGGGTAAATGAAAAGATAATATTTGTTAAAAAAACAGCAAACAACTAAACAAAATAGGCAAGGCCAGAGGTTGGACTTGATGATCTTGGAGGGCTTTTCCAACCTTGGTGCTTCTGGGATTCCCAGAGATGAACTTTTTGCCGGTGCAAAAATGGAATTTCCCGGGATGTTTGTTCCATATTTGTGTTCCACTTCCTGGGTTTCCTTGAGTTGAAAAGCCAGTTGGAGGAATTCAAGGCAAGCCAAAGCTTTGTGAGTGATTTCCATAGCTTGGGACACTTAAAATATTCCAGGTGGAACCTTGTGGTGGGAGTTGGAGCAGGGAAGATGAGCCGGGTATGGATTGTAGTGCTTTTGAATGGAAACCTCTGGTTTTGTTCCCTGGAGCTGTTTAACAGCTGGGACAACCAGCAGGAACCATCTCACACCTGCATTCTTGTCTCTCCAGACAAGCTTTAAGTGAAGTTTTTGATCTTTAAGTCGTTTGATCTGAGTTTAATGGACATTAAACCAGGCTTTCCAAATAATCCAGTTATTTATCTGTCGAGGTCCTTTGGTTCCACTGGTTATTTCGCCAGCTTTTGTATAGAAATACATTAAATATTTAATATATGGAACTAGATTATCTTCTGAATATTCCAAGTGGTTAATGCTTACACATCAGGAAGAAAAGAATCCAAACTTTGTATGGGAAACCAAGAGGAAGAGCCTGGAGAAACACGAGGATAAGGAATAAAACTGGCTGGTCCCCAGACCTCATTTCTACCGAATAAAATAAAGAAAGAAATCAATTTTAAATAAATGCCTCCCCCCCCCCCCTTTTATTTCAGTGACCTGGTGGATTCTAATTTTCCTTCAGTGCTTGATGATGTTTTAGTTTTACCCCAGAAGTCCAGAAATCACTTTAATGTCTCTGCTCAGGAGATAAAATGCCCCCTGTTATTGATTCCTGTTGAAAAATAGCCAATTCTGGTTAAAAACTGGTGCTTTTTAGACTAAGGAAGATCTTCATCCCCTTCATCTGCCCATGTCACTGTTATTAATTAGTACAAAGAGCTGAGTGTTGCTGAATCTTCCCCAAACCCCACATTTTCTTGTTTTAGGGGTTTTGTTTTAGGTTTCCTTGTCCAAAATCCTGAAGGTCTCTCGGTCCTGATTTCAGGACAATACCCAATGTTTGGGCACCTCAAATATCTTGGAAAAGCCCTGGCACTTTGGATCCTTGTTAATTTAGGAGCTTAATCCAAGTTGGTGCTGGGAAATTGAAATTATGACATCACGTCTCAAGTGCTGGGAGGTTTTAATAATTTTGCAGTTAAAAAAATTACCATCTGGATTCCATGAAATAGAGTCTTATTTTATTTCTTAGTGATCCTTGGGTGATCCTATAACTTCTTTCATTTCCCAAGATTGGAATCTTTGTTTTAGAGCCTGACCTGGCACAGAACTGCAGTGACCAGACACACACACTCCCCATTTATGGGATTGTCCCTTAAAATCAGAATCCACTTTTCCTGACTGATGAAATCCAGGCTTTGAGGTAGATAATTGAAAATCCTCCTCTTTTCCTGGGGCGGGACACTCAAAATTGGAGTTTTGCCAGAGCCATAAATATTTTGGGGAATTACCCCTTTTTTGGGGGAGCTGCAATAGGTAAGCAGAGCTCAGGATATTCCAGGGAGGAATCCAGAGGGTAGGAAAAACTTCTGGAGGCTGATGCTTCTTGCACGGTGGTAATGATGATCAGGACTTTCTATATTATCTAATATTCACTGGAAATCAAGGAGGGAATGTCTCTTCTCCAGTTAAAAATCAAATTTATACTGAATATTTCAGCTTTTTTCCACTGTGTGTTACTTTGCTTTTGTCACCAGCATCCCCCTGTAACTTAGGGAATTAATTAAGGATAATTAGTAGTAATCAAATGCTCTTATTATTGTATTGTTTGACCAGGCTAATAAATAATATCTGTAAATTGTTTGGAATGGAAGGAGTTGCCATGAATTTGCAGGAACATCAGGAGTTCCCTCAGCCCTTAAACAGGGATTTAGCAGGGCCTTTCCTTTTGCCTTTTTTCCTGGCTCTGTGGTTTCATTTGGCCATCAACTGGTTTGTTCCAGGAGCTGTGGACACCAGGAGTGGGATTGCCCAGGATGGTGGAGCTGAACTGCAGGAGAGAACTGAACCAGCAGCTGCAGGAAAACACAAAGGTAGGGCAGGGGAAAATTCCACTGCCATGGGAAGCCCGACCTGGGGGCTTTGGGATCAAATCCATGCAGGTAAAAGATGAGACGAGGGGGATTCACACTTCATCCAACCTCTGCCTTGTGTTTTAATCACAATTGGTTTGAAAAAAGTACACTCCTTGATAAAACAATTACTTTTATTTTCTCTTTCCTGTTCTTTGGCAAGTTTTCCAAGAGGCCACATCCCAAGGAAGATGCTGCACGTCAGTCCCTTGGGATTCCCTCTGTAGGAACTCAGTCAGTGCACGTGGTCTTTTTGGACAGGTTTGGGAGCCTCAGTGTTGGCATTTTACAGGATTCCAGGGGAAAATTCCACCTCTGCATTCCCTCTTTTTTCCCCGAGCTCCCAAAGATGTGGATTGTGGATGATATTTGTATCCGGCTCCTCGGAGCCCTGGAAAAGCAAAATGTAGGAAGAAGAGCTGAGGTTGAAGGAAAAAAGCTACGTTTTTGTTTTCTCCAGATCCAGATGCTTGGCTTAGTTGGGAAAGGTGATCCCAGAGATGTGGGATGTGGGAGAGCACAAAGGGTGTTTCCCAGCCCTCCTGTGTCAGTCTGAGGAAGGAGAGAAGGATGGCCAAGACATTTGTGGGACTTTCCACAACTGGGAGAACTTCCACATGGATTCTTTGGCATCAGTTGGAGCTGCCCTGTCCACCGGAATGTGTCTGTGCTGGAATATTTATGTATATTTGATTTATTTATGATTTATATCCCTCTATTTATATTTTGAATGGATATAAGAGGAGTACTTGGAGGTTCATTATTGATCTGGGTTGGATCCTCAGGTGGTAGAAGAACCAAATATTCAGGATCATAGAATAAATAAGGTTGGAAAACACCTCCAAGAGCATCAAGTCCAACCTTTACTGTGTTGACTATTCTTTATTTTCAGCTTTATTCCGTGAGGCAGTGGAACAACAATGCATTAGTGAACCTTAATTTTTTAGGTTCAGGACCTTTAAGGTCCCTTCCAACCCAAACCATCCTGTGATTCTGTGATATAAAACCATGATTTATTTCCTCTTCTCCTGACCCTGGTAATAGTTGCCAAGTTCTGGATGGAGTTCTTTTGTCAGATGATGATTAAAGAATTTCTGAATTTATCTAAAAAAATCACTGTATTTGTTATTTCCAGATGATTTTCCCCGTGACATCCCAGGGACAAAAGACCAGCATCAAACATAGTTAAAAACTTCTACTATTAAAAAGGGCTTTTTGATAAATAAAGCACTTCTGTAATGCTTTTTTCCTCCCTTTATTTGATGGATTTAAGAATTTTTAAACTGTACCAAAACATGAGTGAGTTGTGTTTAAGTGCTTCGAGTAACTTTATCCAAGTAGTTTCTATTTAACACCAAAAACCATCTATGAAAGTGCTTTGTGTTAAAAAAAAAAACAGAATTAAAGAGTTTATAAACACTTTATGGGTTCTCACTTGAAAATAAAAACCTGTTGGGAATTTTTTGAAATCTATTCCAGGGAGTTCTTGAACAGCCATGTTAATACAGGGTCGGTTTTCCATTTTGGGAATGCCAGTATGTGATTTTTTCCTTCCTCCTTCTCCTTATGAGTATTAAATATCTGGACTAGGGGGGGGATTGCAGAAGAAATCCTCAAATCCTAGAATCCTTTGGAAAAATTGAGTGAGGCCATTGTATTTTCACAGCTGAGGGAAACATATAAAACCGAAGAAATTTAACTTTTCAGTTAAGTAAGTCTAAAATTTTTTTTAAAATCTTCAAAATGTTTTTAAATTTTAATTTTTCAGTTAAGAAGTCTAAAATTTTTTAAAAATTTAATTTTTTTTTTTAATTTTAATTTTTCAGTATCCCTTTTGAATTGTGCTTGGTTAAAAACTGGCAAGATCCCCAAGATCTTTTAACTTTATATAGGACTTTATTTCTAATTGAAGCAGCTTGGCACTGCTGTGTTCCATGAGCACTGATACAATTCAAAATACTGTCAGGAGGAAAAATCAGCTTTTCCTTGCCAGCCAAGCCACCGTGTTCTGTTGTTTTATCTGACAGGAAGAGAAGTGGAGAACGTGGCTCCTGAAAAGCCTGAAGGTGGGGAAGCACCTCCCGATGTGCCCCCTCAGCCCAGCCAAAGGTGTGGGTTTTATCCTTTGTCCTGTTCTTGATCCGGGGAAGCTGGGGATGTAATTTTATTAAAAGGAGGGATGTTTGAGAAGAACATTCCATGGCCTCCATGAGGAGGGGGGTGTGGGTGAGATGAGCTGGGCTGTGGATCCCCAGCTGATTCCTTTTTTGGTGTGTGTCCCGTGCAAACCCTTTTCCCGCTGTCGTTCCAGGCGGATCCCGCGCCCCGGCAGTGCCAGGCCGGCCCCTCCCCGAGTGAGACGGCAGGAGAGCACAGAGCCCCTGATCCCAGAAAGGTGGGAATGTGGGCTCTGGAAGCAGCTGTTCCTCAGCTCTGCTTGCTGTGCCTCCCCAGCTCTGGAGGGTCACCCCACTGCTCATGGAAACTCCGCTTGGGGTGAAGGGGGGTCACCCACAGGTTGGACTCTGTGACCTTGAAGGGCTTTTCCAACCTCAGTGGTTGTAGTTGGCTTTCAGTTGCTTATTTAGTTTCAGTTGCTTATTTAGTTTTGGTCTGGGCAGAGCTCCTGAAGATTCCCACTTTCCTCGTGTCTCCTGCAGGAGCGGCAGCGCCAAAAGCGCCCCAACCGTGATCCTGGACCAGCAGGGTCCTGAGGAGGAGGAGGACGAGCAGTTTGTGGTGGAGGCAGCAGGGCCTCTGCCACACATGAGAAAGGTTTGGTCATGGGGCACATTACAGAACATTTTTCCCTGTTTTGTTTGGAATGTTCAGCTTGGTGGAGAGGAGGCTCCAGGGAGACCTGAGAGCCCCTTGCAGGGCCTAAAGGGGCTCCAGGAGAGCTGGAGAGGGACCTGGGACAAGGGGTGGAGGGACAGGACACAGGGAATGGCTTCCTACTGACAAACAGGATATTGGGAAGGAATTGTTGGCTGTGAGGGTGGGGAGGGGCTGGGATGGAATTCCCAGAGGAGCTGTGGCTGCCCCATCCCTGGAAATGTCCAAGGCCAGGTTGGAGCAGCCAGGGAAAGGTGTCCCTGCCCATGGCAGGGGTGGAATGAGATGAACTTTAAGGTCCTTCCAACCCAAACCAGTCTGGGATTCTGGAATGGACTTAAGCAGCTTCCAGCTGAGTATTTTTGAATAACTGTAATAATTGTACAGCCACACCAACTTTTTCCAACTAAATCTCTCTTCCTGCCTGTTCAGGAGCCTGAAGTTGAGCTGGTTGATGATCAGAAGCATGGTATGTTTGCTTTTATATATATTTTTATATCATCATCATCATCATCATGGCCGGGCTTTGCGAACGAAGGTTTGGGAAGGGCTCTACCCACACTTAATATATATATTAAAGTATATATTTATGTATTATTATTTATATTTATAGTTATAAATATAAACATTTTATTTCTATATAGATATAAACAACTTGGTTTAAAGCAAGTGCTGAACACTTCCAATGCTGAATAAAGCAGTAAAACACCTCCTGAGAGCAGGAGTTTGCAACGTTGGCAGGGATTTCTCCGAGCTTGTCCTGCAGCTGGATTTACAGCTGGTGTTGAGCACAGATTTCTGTGCATCTCCGGTGTCAGCAGGATTGAAAATCCTGCAGAAAGCTCATAAATGAACTTCTCCTCAAGTGTCAGGTACAGCTTGTCAGCTCTGAGATGGGATTGGCCCTCAGGGCCACCTCTAGAAAAGCTTTGGAGGAAAAAATGGAACTAACAAATACATTGGATCTCAGTATTTAAAATACACAATAAAATGCTGTTCCTCTGGCCCTAAAAACTATTTGCATTTAAAAAAATGGAAGCAGTCGGGTTTGATTTTAATGTTTGAAACAAGTTCAGTGCCAAGCAATGCTGAGGAATATCTGGACTGTTCAACAGGTGGGCTGGTAAAAAGAATCCTGGAAACCAAGAAGGATTATGAGGCGTCACAGAAATCATCCCAGACAACAGACAGGGTAAGATGGGAATGGCCTGCAAGGAAATCTGAGACTAAAGATTGTAATCATGACCTTTTTCTTTGCCTTAAATATGTTTTTTTTCCCATTTCTGACCAAGCTTTTCCTCTGTCTGCTGCTGTGATTTTTTTCTCCCCAGTCAGTAGTTGTGAAAGGGAAATTGGTTTTTGGGTTTGCTGGGTTTTGTTTGGGTCTTTTTTGTTGTTTTACTCCCTTATAAAAGATCTAAAAAGGACTTGTGAGTGCTCACAGAAGGTTGAACCCCCCTGATTTAAGTGTCTTCCTGTTACAACTGGAGAGCTTTTGCTTTTTCAACCTTGCAAAGTTTTTAGGTGGACTTTTGTGATCCCTTGGCCCTGTGGGAAGTCTCCAACTCTGGTTGGATGCACTGGTGAGGAGGCACTGAGGGGATACAGTGAGTTCCACAAATCTCTTACAAAATTAGACAGGTTTTTTGGGGAAAATGAGTGCATTTCGTGAACTCCTCCATCTTCCATTCCCCATCTCCTCATTTCTTTAATCTTCATTCAGCCTTGGAGGTTTTTACTCTCGATGTTCTTTGTCAGGAATGATCTGGAGTGTTTGAAATGCTGCAACTCAGACCCCGAGTCCAGCTTTTCCCAGAGCTCCCTGAAATCCGTGGTGGCTCTTGGAGCCTTGACCACTTCTCTGCCTCTTTCAGCTTTCCCAAAAGAAAAAGTTGGGATGGCAGATCCAGCTCTTGGGGGGTGTATCTTCCTCCCTGGAGTTTGGGATTGGCTGGGCAGCCCCAGGCCTGCTTGCCTGGAAGGAATTTCTCGTCCCAAGGGCCGTGGTTTATGAACCCAGGGAGGTTTGGATGGGATATTGGGAAGAAATCCTTCCCTGGGAGGGTGGGGAGGGGCTGGGATGGAATTCCCAGGGAAGCTGTGGCTGCCCCATCCCTGGAAGTGTCCAAGGCCAGGTTGGAGCAACCTGGGCTAGTGGAAGGTGTCCCTGCCCATGGCAGGGGGTGGAATGGGATGAACTTTAAGGTCCTTCCAACCCAAATCCATCTGTGATGATTCTGTGAACCAAATCCTTCTAAAAACAGGAAAACACCTTTAGATTCCTGCTCATAAATCCATTAGGAATTACCCATCTTTATCCACCTTGCTGGATCACACCCCATTCCTTAGAAATGTGCAGCTCTGGGATCACTGAGACGCCCTTGGCTGTTTGGCAGGAGCTTGAGGGGGAAATTTCCCTGGAAACAAAACAGGGTTCCAAGTGGATTGTGCTCTGTTGATGCTTCAGCTCATTCCTGAGCCATGGAGAACAAGCCAAGCTGTTCTATTCCTGGATTTCTGACTAGATGGTGCTGTTGGATCATCACTCCAGCCTAAGTTTGGGAGCAGCATTAGCGGTTCAGGTCACACTGTCCCTCTGTGCTGTTTAGTGTGTCCTGTCAGGGCACAGAACGGGATAACAGGGCAGGATTGACACAACCCCATGGATTTCCAGCTCGGGAAGCTTCCCCTGCTGTTTGTGCTCCATTTTCTGGATGGTTTTTCTCTCAGATGAAGAGAACACCCTAAAGACAAAAGCCCTTTGAACCCCTCCAAATGTTTGCAAAGGCCAATTGTCCCTTCTCTGATATCCAGGGCGTTCCCGGCTCGCTTGGAGCCTCTCCAACATCCATTCAGTCTCTGCTTGGGGTTTGTGGCACCTTTTGAGCCCTGAGCTGTGTCAGCTCGGGCTGGAAAAATCCTGCTGACTTCCCACTGCAGCACTGACAACCTGCCCGAGGCCCTGGAATATCGTCGGGTGGCCTTTCCCAGCAGCCAGGGCTGCTCCTGCTTTTCCAGTGATGCTGTTGAGGGCTTTGGGATCCAGGGAGAGGGATCGTTTGCCTGAAATGATGATCCACAGAAAGATGTAGTTTGCCTCAAATCTTGATCCAAGGAAAAGTGTAGTTTTCCTGGAGTCCTGATCCAGAGAGAAGTGTAGTTTTCCTCAAGTCCTGATCCAGGGAGATCAGGAGTTTTCCTGAAAAGATGATCCAGGGAGGAGTGTAGTTTTCCTCAAGTCATGATCCAGAGAGATCAGGAGTTTTCCTGAAAAGATGATCCAGGGAGAAGTGTAGTTTTCCTGCAGTCCTGATCCAGGGAAAAGTGTAGTTTTCCTGGAGTCCTGATTCAGGGAGATGAGAAGTTTTCCTGGAGTCCTGATCCAGAGAGAAGTGTAGTTTTCCTCAAGTTGTGATCCAGAGAGATCAGGAGTTTTCCTGAAAAGATGATCCAGGGAGAAGTGTAGTTTTCCTGGAGTCCTGATCCAGGAAAAAGTGTAGTTTTCCTGGAGTCATAATCCAGGGAGAAGTGTTGTTTTCCTGAAATAGAGAGGAATGTAGATTTCCTGAAAAGATGATCTAAGGAGAAGTGTAGTTTTCCTGGAAAGGTGATCCAGGGAAAAGTATAATTTTCTTGAAATCCTTGTCCTGAGAGAAGTGTAGTTTTCCTGCAGTCCTGATCCAGGGAAAAGTGTAGTTTTCCTGGAGTCCTGATCCAGAGAGATGAGAAGTTTTCCTGGAGTCATGATCAGGGGAGAACTGTAGTTTTCCTGAAAAGATGATCCAGGGAAAAGTGTAGTTTTCCTGGAGTCATAATCCAGGGAGAAGTGTAGTTTTCATGGAAAGATGATCCAGGGAGAAGTGCAATTTTCCTGAAATCCTGATCCAGGGAGAAGTGTAGTTTTCCTGGATTCCTGATCCAAAGAGCAGTGGTTTCCCTGAAGAGTTGATCCAGGGAGATGTGTAGTTTTCCTGGAGTCATGTCAGCCCAGAATCCTGGGAATGTCTCATCCCTGAGGGATGTCCCTCATGAGGAGGGCAGGGCAAGGCTGCAGAGCAGCAAATCTGGGAGGAATCCACTGCTCTGTGGAATCTCTCTGGAAAAGAGAGGCAGCAAAAGTCATTAAAAAGGAGGAGGAATTCCAAGAGGTTCATTGCTGCCAAGTGGGAGGTGGGAATTCAGGGATGGGCTTGAACTCTGTGTTCATGGCCCTGGATTTGGTGCCAGATGTGGGAATTGCCCAGTTCTCCCCAGACTTCCGGCTCTTTAATTGGTTTTCCATCAAAATCTCCAGGAGAAATATCTCCTCCATCAATATGCAGCTGAATTCCAAAGTGTGGCCTGCATTGGAGAGGAAAAGGGGCTCGGACTGCTGGGTTTTTGGGATTAGGTAACCAAAAATCCAGGGAAAATTGGAAAGAAAACGTGCTTTGGGAAATTCCATGTGATGAAAGGATGGATGTCCCTGTGTCTGTCAATAGGATGTTCATCTTCCCTCATTTTATTAATATAAGTAAAATAAATGGGGTATTTTCCCACTTATATTCATTAAAGCTTTGTCCTTCTGCCAACTGGGAAAATAGAGGGAATAAAAACTAGGACTCTGAGTGCTGGAACTTTGGGTAATACTTTGTTAAAGAATAATAAATATTAAAATATTTTAGCAAATATTTTAATAATTCTTATGAATAAATATTATATTATATATAATGAAATGTATTTATTATATATAATAAATAGTCTAGATAATATTTATTGTTAATATTTGTTAAAGTATTTATTTATTCAGACAAAAAAAAGGATCAATAGATCCACTGATTTATTGGGGATTAATCCACTAGAAATGAGGTGAAGTTGGTGAATTAATCCTTAATCCAACATCTCAGGAGTATTTCCCACCTTCCAGCTGCTCCTTGCTGAGGAATATTTATTTATGGTCAAAGCATTCCTCCCAAACCTTTTCTGGGCTGTGTTTCCCAAACATGCACTTGCTTTTTGAGGAGTTTTAATGAAAGAAAAAGAAGGGAAAAGGAAAGAAAACTGGGAATTTCATCAGCTGGGTCCTGCATGTGCAGCAACTTAAAATAATAGCCACAATTTTCAGGTCAAACCAACAGGTCAGTCTGGAATACACAAGATTTTAGCTGTGTTGAGCCTAAAAATTCCTAAGAAAACTTCCTCCATGGATTTGTTTAGAATCTGAGCCCCTCATGTTAAGCAGGGAAAGAAACAGATGTTCCATTTTGGATTCCACTCCTTTTATTTGAGGGGTGGGAAAAATGGAGGCAGGTTATTAAATAGCTTTAAATCCCAGAATTCCCACCTTTGCCCAACCAAAAGGGCTTTGGGAAAGCAGGAGCTTGGAGGTTTCTATGAGGAACAAGTGCTATTAAATAGCTTTTTATTTTTTAATATTAGTTTAATTAATTAAATTGGGATACCTTGGGCACTTTGAGGCTTAGAAGAAATATAGTTATTGCTGATTCTGGTTGTTTAAAGCTCTACAGGTCAGTGATTTTTAAATTAATCCCTCAACTGCAGCACAGGGGTGTCCCCTCCAGCCAATGCTGTTAATTGGGATTCAGATATCCCAGAATTTGGGAGAGGTTTCCCAGTCAGCCCACACCATCCTGGGGTGTCCCAGGGTAAATAATGTGGTCCCCAAGCAGTGGTGTTACAACACAGGGGCAGGATTTGGGATAATCCTGGAGCTCCTTTGCACACAAAAACATGGAATTTCTCTCCTGTGGGTCCAGTATAAATCCAAATGAGGCAGCGGATGGAAGTGTTCCCAGAAGGGAGGGATAGAAGTGGGAATGCAGTGGTTCCATCCCTGGGAGAGGGGGAGTGTGTCCCAGGACACAGCACAGGGCTCACAGCTTGGTTACCACAGGGACCAGGTTTATTCCAAGTTCTTTTCCAATGGGAAAAAGGTGTTTTTTTCCCAGAGGAGGAGCTGGTGGATGCAGAGTTCCAGTGGGGTGAGCAGGGAAGGAAGGCTGGGCAGGACTGGCACCCAATGTGCCATCAGTTAATGGCATTAATTCCAGCTGGAATTGTCTCCTGGGCTGTGTATGTGTGGTCAGACTGGATTCACAGGGACGGAGCCAGGCTGGGAGAGCTGGGAATGTGTGACCTGGAGAGGAGAAGCCTCCAGGGAGACCTTAGTGCCTCTTCCTGTGCCTAAAGGGGCTCCAGGAGAGCTGGAGAGGGACTGGGGACAAGGGATGGAGGGACAGGACAAGGGGGAATGGCTTCCCACTGCCAGCGGGTTAGATGGGATATTATGAAGGAATTCTTGGCTGAGAGGGTGGTGAGGGATGCAATTCCCAGGGAAGCTGTGGCTACCCCATCCCTGGAAATGTCCAAGGCCAGGTTGGAGCACCCTGGGCAAGTGGAAGGTGTCCCTGCCCATGGCAGGGGATGGAATGGGATGAGCTTTCAGGTCCTTTCCAATCCAAACCAGCCTGGAATTCCATGATTCCACTTAGTGTGTTGAATTCTGCCCCAAATACGGGAGATTTGGGGAAGATTTTTCTCCCCAGCAGAAAAATCTTTCTCAGATTGTGAGGGAAAGCAGAGCAGCTCTGGGGGCTGAGCTGGGTGTCCATGTCCAGTGCAAAGTCCAGCTCTTTTTAGAGGGATCAAATATGAATTTTTCTTTCCAGGGAAAAAAAAAAAAAGAAAGAAGAATTAAAAATCCCCCTTGAAAGAGCCATTTTTTTATTCTCCTGAGGTGCCTTCCAGCTCAGACTGAGTCTGGATAAATCCAGTGGTGAAGAACATTGTGTCTCCAACTCCTTGGCCTGGGACTGAACTCCATACCTGGCACCAGCAGGAAAAGCATCCTGCTCATTTCAAATGATTTCACAGTTACTGGTTTCCCTCTGTTCCTGTGAAAGAGTTTCTTACGGGGCTCCCTCGTGGATAGTTACAATCTACTGAAAATGCAGCCTCTGTGAAAAGCAGGAAAAGAAAACAGCCTTTATGATCCAAAACCATATTTTATACAGGAGAAAAAAAAGCTCCCACCTTGTTGGTTTTGCATGGAATGGATCAAAATTACTTGTCCAAAATGAAGTTTCTGCCCTGTCCTGTAGAAAGAGGTGGGGGGGGGATGGGGGAGCTCAATAAAACTCTGATTACTTGGGCCTGTTTTCATAGTGGGGCACAATAATAGAGTTAAAAGGGGCTGTAGAAACTATTAAATGCTTGATGGATGTTTGGGCTAATTTGATGCATATTTAAAAAGCTGTTAATTAAATAAAAAAAGGGGAACAAAGGAGTGGCTGTAAAAGTAAGGAAAGGCTGGTTCTAGAAATTCTGGTGGTTTCTGGAACCTCGTTGGTAATTTCCCCCCGACTGATGAAAAAAGATTAAAAAAGAAAATTCCTGCTCTTCAGTTGCTCAGGTGCCCGTGTTCTGCTGGCATGGAGGGGGTGGGAAAGGCAGGCCTTTTCCTGGGAATCCAAACTAAACATTGCTCTTGGCGCCTCGTGACAAACACGGAGGAAAGGGGGGCGTGTTGGGCCTCCAGAAGTGATCCAGCCTTTTCCGTGGGGATAATTTATGGATTGTGTTGGGAAAGGAGGGTTGGTTGAGGTGTTAGGGCCTAATGGAACAGCTTGGGCTAATCCAGCTCCTGGCCTTTTGCTGGAGATATCCAGTTCCATGGCTGTGCAGAGGGAGCAGATCTCGGGCCTCGTGCCACCCACCTTGTCTGTAATAAACCACCTGCCAGAATTCCTGGGCATTTCCAAGGCTGTCCCACGTGGATTTTAACCCGTAACTGGAACTGCAGGTCTGGGGACACACAGTAATGGGTTTGTCTCCCTCTTAATTCCTTATAATTAGTGAGAGTTGGCAAAGCCTGAGGGGTTCATGCTGATCATTCCTGGCATCATGGCTGCTCCAGCCCTGGAAGTGTTCAAGGACAGCTTGGAGCAACCTGGGCTAGTGGAAGGTGTCCCTGGGTGGAACTGGATGGTCTTTGAGGTCCCTTCCAACCCAAACCACTCTGTGATCTTGGCAGTGTTAATAGAATGAAGAAAGAGTGGCTGGTGACCCTAAAAGTCTTTTCCAACCTTAATGATCCTGGGATTCTGTGGCTGACTTTGGATGGGACAATATGTTGCCCTTTTCATGTCAGTTTTGAGGAATTCAACTACACAAAGAACATGCTGAAATTCCTGGGATGCTAGAATTAGTTTGGAATATTTGCTACTGTACTTTAAGGGTGTTTTCCTGATTGATCCCAAACATTCCATGGTGTTTTATTGCCACTTGAGCTTTTCAGGCAGCTCCGTATTTTGGCGGAGAATATTTCAAATTGTTGGCTGGCTCTGTGTGTTAGAAATCTGTGCTTTTAGAGATCTGTATCAAGATATATTCTGTACCTAAAGTGCACAATTCTGGTTTGCTTCTTTACTGAACTGGGGGATTTTTACTTGGAAAAGCCTTCCCAGCCCATGGATCCCCCCTGTGCCCGATGCCCCCCTTGTCCCCCAGCCCAGAGCACTGAGTGCCACATCCTTGGACACCTCCAGGGGTGGGGACTCCAAACCTCCCTGGGCAGCCCCTTCCAGTGCCTGACCACCCTTTCCATGGAGAAATCCCTCCTCATGTCCGACCTGACCCTCCCCTGGCACAGCTGGAGGCTGTTCCCTCTCCTCCTGTCCCTTGTTCCCTGGCCCCAGCCAATCCAGGGCTTAACCCAGCAAAGATCCACCTGTCCAAGCCATGGGCTGCCAGCTTTTCCAGGAGAATGCCGTAGGAAATGTTCCCAAACTTGGCATTTGGAAAGCAAAAAGGAATCATTCTCCCGGTTTTCACACCCCAACCCTCAGATAATGGACTGGTTTGAGTCTTCTCCCTTCTGACATGGTTGTACTTGGAATGAATTCCTTATTTCTTGGCTGAGGCGTTGGATAATGGATGGTGGGGAGGAAAGTGGGGAAGGTTTGGAGCACTTGGGAAAAACAAGGCAGTGGGACTTTATCCTGGGAAGCTGCTGGATCTGATCCAACTCTGCTGCTGAGTTGAAGCTGGTTGTCTTTAAACTTCCCAGTTCCATGTGGGAAGTCCAGTGCCATGGATTAAAAGCCTTCCCTGTGAAAGGAGCACAAGGAGTAGGAAACCAGAGTTAGGACAGAGAAGGGCTTTGAAACCCAGTGGGAGCGCAGCGCTTTCATCCCTGCATCCTACGGGATAACGAACACATGGATGGCTCCAGAAAACACGGAATGCCGTGGTTTATGTGCTGTATGTAATGAAACACCTGCTGCTGCGAGGGAGGGAATTCAGGGAGTGTTGTTTTTAGCAGCTCGTGGAGCCCCTTCGGAAGCGAAGGTCACGAGTTCAGCACGTTTGTCACTCCAGCCCCGTTCCTAATGAAACAACTGGAAC